AGGACATGAACATGTGTGCTTCAACACTGGTTGCTTACCATGTCGGTGCGGTGCGCTATAATCCTGCATTTGTCACCGCCTTCCCTCTTTGTTGATTTTTCCTGCTCGGCCTTATGTTGAGTCGTAAGACATGTGTTCGCCCCAGTTTGCGGTCCCGGTCCTGCTGCACTTCGACTCTACCAGTCTCCCTGAGCTCTTACGATCTGCTTCACTGACTCTCTGTTACATCGGGCCCCTTGCAGCGAAGCTAACAGTCAGCATTGTTCAGAAATAAATGCTGGCTTTGACGTGCATCAGGGATATGTTACCGTGCAGAAATAGATGGGCCATTTCAGCATAAACACAACTTCAGGGATAATTGTTCATTTGAAACAGGGCATTTTAATTTTACTGTGATTTTTAAACACAGCAAATGCATTGCTTGTCAAGAAACGTTTAGTCGAGCAAAATCTTGTGTGACCCATAAGCTTGCAAATTGCTTAGAAAGTCAACTGAACATATTTAGTTGTTTTTTTAAGTAATTTTTTTTTATTTTAATATCATTGACTCAGTCAGTGCTTATTTTTTCACAGACCAAACTTAGTGCTTGTAAGCAGTTTTCCTCCTAAAGATGCTTCTAGCAAACTGAATTAAAACATAAAACAGGTTATCCGGACCTCGTAACAGATGGTGCAGTTTCAAAGATTTTACTTCAGTTGTTTTCAAGATTTATTAATATGCAGTTTTGAAGTGCAGGTACACATTTGTTGCAAACAAAGCTCTTTCTGCATAATTTACTGAACAAATCTGAGCCTGAACAGGTACAAATACATCACAATTATTGGACTTCTCCGTCTCAAATGGCTCTTTCATGAATAACGCTACTGTTAATCTGTTCAAGTATCTTTATTATCCCCAAGGAGCAATTTGTTTCACAGTCAGTAGGCACGCATAAAACATCCATACTAGGCAAGACATTGAGATATTAAAACAACAGAAATCATCGCTGTTCGTTGAGAAGCCTGGTCGCTACAGGGATGAATGTTTTTCAGTCTTTGTCCTCCATCTGGGCAGCAGATACCTGCGTCCAGATGGAAGCAACCTGGACTCTCCATGGAGTGGGTGATCAGGATCTGCCAGAATCAGCCTGGCCTTGTTCGCCGACCTCACCTTGTGCAGGTCCAGTGAGGTTCTGTTGGGCTGTGCCCAAAGTTTTGCTGCGCGTCCTGATTCATAGTCTCTTCATATTCATATCTTCTGCTATTTCCTTAAGTAAACAAGCACACGTAGACGGCTGTTCACAAAGTTTGCTCACTAATATTTAATTTGGGGAAACATTAACCGCTATTTTTTCTTTGAAAGTGCTCTGTTTGATTGTTTATTTAAAAAAAAAAATCACTGATCATGACTTTGCATTGAATAAATGGTCAACTAATGGTGGAAGTTCAGGATGTTACTTTCTTTTTAACCCTCCTGCTGGTCTTGGGTCAAAATGACCCATGAGTTCTCCTTGTGGGTCTACCTCCCTGGTCATTTTGACCCAAGGGCAGCAGGAGGGTTAACCTCAGTAATTCTTGTTTTATTGATCATAAAATGTGGTTTTAGCTGAAAGATTAAAAGTTGAATGTAAGATCCGCTGCCAGTGCCCGACACAATGTGAGAGCAGAGTTCTGGTTGGCACTGCAGCTAAAAACACCCAAATGTATGCATGTTGTTTTAACAACAACACGTTTTCTGACATTTCTGACTATCAGCCAAGTTGTCTGTGGTACATCCTTGGTATGAGGACTCCAGAGACAAATCTAAGAAGTTTTTAATTTCCCCACACCATTTTCTGTCATTCATCATCTTTTATTGGAGCATGGTGGTCTTTGAGCTTTGAACAATAACTTTGGCTCCTTGGCCTGTTTTTGTTTTTTTTTACTGGTCACAGCCACTTCTTCTTTTGGTTTCTTAATTTCAGACGTTCCTGTTCAAAACCTGCCAGTCGAGACAAAAATCTTGCACGGACATGTCTGTGGCTAAGTCTAACTTTCCGTCTGAGCTTGCAGCTAATGTGTCTTTTGTGAAGTCCACTTCTTGATCGCTTCATAACCCGACTGCTGGGTCGCTCGCTGGACCACATGTTCTGTGGCTTTTCGCTCAAAGCCCCTGTGACCTTTACACACTGCCAGCTGTTCTAGTGCCACCAAAGCCCATTCGTTTGAGTGGAGGGTTTTTCTTTTTACGTAGGATAAGAGCAGGAAGTGTAACCCCAAATGGCCGTGAGCGGGTTAGATTTGTTTGCTCACACTCGCTGCATCTCATCTTAAAAAGAGGAAGGAAATAAAAGTCTTCCTTCTTGAATTCTTATTTTTACTCTGTACAGATAAAAGTAATGATTTGTTTGCAAGTTTGTTAATGATATATCATCTGTTCTTTGGAAATAAAAGCTGTTCCTGCAGAGCTAGTAGGGATGGGCATTTTAGCAAAAACATTATTTGAATTAGTCTAGCAGCAAATTATGCTTCTTACAATCTGGACTTATTTATTTTTACTCATTAAGATTTATTTATTTCTTTTTAAACAGGTTTTTTTTTTTGTGCTGACACTTGTACTATATTTATCAGCAATTAATTTTTTGTAGGGTGTTTGGATGGTACGCGTGTGCTTTCAGAAAACAGAAGAAGTATCTAGACTGTAAAAACACAGGAAACAACAACTTGGTGTTTCAGTATGAGGTGCCAATGTAAACAATTAAATAAGTAAGTAAATAAACAATTAAACAAACGAGTAAAAACATAAACAAATAAGAATGTAAATAAGTAGACAAGTAAACAGCAAAGTAAATACGTAAACAAACAAGTAAGTAAATAATTAGTTAGTCATGGATGGATTATTTCTTCAAATTCACTTATCTTGTGGGGGAGTGGTGGCGCAGAGGCTAGAGAAGGTGGGCCTGTGATCGGAAGATCGCAGGTTCAAGCCCCGGTACCGACAACATCAAAAATGTGGGTGGGGTAGGTGAAGCACCCCCACCTGCCCCATGAGGAAGGCCCTTAACCCCCATCTGCTCCCTAAAAACAGGTCTCTGTTGAAAATGAGTTCTCGTAGCTCAGTGAGACTACCTGTATAAATAAATGACTCTGAACCTGGTTGGTAAATTGTGAAATTTGTGGCATTGTACAAACATCTTATTTAACCTTTGTAAATAAAAGGTGCATTCAGGTGTCATGTAGCCTCCGTTCTCGATCTGTACGTGGTTGTAATGAGTCTAAAAGCGCTTTGATTAAGAATCTGATGAATTTAACTGAGTTTCCTTCATCTCTCGGGTGTTACCTGTGACCTTTTCGCTTCCTGTATTCCTAAAGACGATGCTCGTTAAAAGTGAAGTGTTTTTTTTCTTCTCACCTGTAGTGTGCAGTAAAGTTTAGTTTTCATGGATCGTTGTTAATATGAGAAGGAAATTGATCTCAGATTTGTTTGTCCCTCTTCATTGTTTAATGAAGCTTTAATGCAGCGACTGAAGGTTTACAACTGCTGCATCTTCAGACCTGCCTCTGGAAGCACAACAGCACTTCCACATTTTCTCGTTACTTTTATCAGCCTCTGCTGCAGGCGTGGTCGTAACCTTGTTGTTATGGAGGGAAACTGTTGGACTTGTTTCAATTCTTTATCTCACCCGGGCAGAGCAGCGGGACAGTAAGAGCTGAATGGTGCCGTATATTGCTTCCAGACACGGGCTGGATTATAAAGGTCAAATCCTCAACCTCTCTGGTTTTCTCTGCTTTGATTCCCATCATGTGTTTAAAACATGTCTGAGACTAACGCAACGTCCCACCTGTTGGTCGTTATTTTCTGATGAAACTGCTGAAAACAGCCCCAGACACTGATGTGACGGAGCTGTGACTCAGAGCACGAGTACACCAGTATCTGCTGTTACCTTTCATTTCCTGCTTTTTGTTTATTACCGGGTAGATCACATATAATTACCGGTAGGTGATCTTTAGAACTTCTGTCAAGAGAAACAAGTCCTAGCATGGCGAGGAAGTCTTGCATGTGTGGTAGAAATGTTTGTGAATTGGAAAATAAAATGGTGGATGTTAAATGAAACAGCACTTTGACCCAGAGTTCCTGCAGATGGCAGCTCTGAGTGTTGGACAAAATGAGGCATTAAAACCCAAAGTCTTGTGTAACTATGTTATTGTCACAGATGGAAAACAGAATAGGATCAAGCTCCTTTGGTGGAGCGGTCTGTCTTTCCATTTTATAGCTTAAAAAAAAAAAAAAGAACAAGAAATGACAGTTATAAGTAAAAAGATTTGGTAAATAAAAAGCAGACATCAGGGTCTCTGCAGCCAAAATGCAACAAACTGCCTCCGTTGATTCGTCATTATTTGAGCTGTTTAGTTGCACTCTGCCAGCCTGGTGCTGTTTTTGTCACTGAACGATGGGATGTGATGTATGTAGGCTCGATGAGTGTGAAATCTCCTAGCAACTGCTACAAATAATCTGGAGAGAAGTTGGCAAGTGGAACAAATGGCTAAATTTACTGAATACGAGTTATTCTCTTGGGAAGAGGTGTGCAAAATTAAAATCAGCCTCGTCTCTGTATCTATCTACTGTGTCTGTTATCTTACTGGTAAAATAAAACTAAAGAAGAGCCTGTGCATATTGTTGTTTCATGAAACTGATTATTTGTGTATTACTTGTCAGTGAAGTAGCTACTTACTTTGATGTTTGTTTAGTTTTTTGTATGGGGATCAATACCAGAAAATGAGTAGTTGAGATTTTTTCAAAGTTTTACACAAATTCAAGTTTTAATATGTCGCTGATCAAATCCCCTCGTAAGAAATTATCAGCGTAAACGTTGGCTGAAAGTGTAAAAATGCTGCGTCAGAGTCTCTTCTGTAAACAGACTCGTGGTCGAGTTGGCACCAAGAAGTATTTGGTCCTGCTGGACCTTGAAGTATTGAGTTGCACACTGTGAGATATTAACGCCCGTCTCTCTCTGCTGCAGGGCTGCCTTTGCCCTGACAAAGCCGCTCAAGATGAACATGGTGAAAAGGATCATGGGGCGGCCGCGGCAGGAGGAGTGCAGCCCCCAGGACAACGCGCTCGGCCTGATGCACCTGCGGCGCCTCTTCTCGGAGCTGTGCCACCCTCCCCGTCACATGACCCAGAAGGAGCAGGAGGAGAAGCTCTACATGATGCTTCCTGTATTTAACAGGGTAAGACAGATTGTCACTGCTCTGAGCTTGAAGTGTCCCAAAGGCAGATGCTGTTGCAAGTTTGGGCTGCTAAATAAAGTTTTTCTTTGAATACTCGTTTATTCAGCTACACTTCTGCTGTGAAATTGGATAAATCAGTCAAACAAACACAGAATCCCTGAGTTAGGTGTAAATTAAATGCCTTAAAGTGGAGAGGAAAGAATATAATTATGGAAGTGAGCTGTACATATTTGCATATTGAAGACGATTTCCCCCCAAAACAGAAATAAAAGACATGGCGTTCAGCGAAATGATGGCAGCATTTCTACATTGCAGTGATAAAATAATCTGCCTGTTAGTTTTGCAGCGGCTGCTGCAGACAGTCCAGCTGAGTGGTCTCGTCCAACTGGAGTGCCACACAGAGTGTCTCTTGACTTGTTAGCTAATTACCCTGCACTGGCCGTGATTCACCCACTGGTGCCATCATGTGTGTCAGAATTCAAAAGTGAAGCGCTACCTGTGCAGCAGGACACAAGACCCCTGGCCGATTTTCTTGTCAGATTTACTGAATAAATAAATGCACGATGAGCCTTTGTTGAGTAAAGTGTGAAATGTCTTTTTATTGGTCTCCCAATGGCTCAGCCTGCATTGTGCATGCAGTGCATGTCAGGAAAAGCCAGAATGATAAAAGCATGCCACCCTTAACGATCCCTATTTTCTCTGCTTTATAGGACTTTAGTTGCAACTGTAAAGAATTTCAGGCTCAAAAAGCAAATCATGACTCCCTGTGGTGGAGTCATGCTCAGTTGGCTCTGTTCATCTTCATTCCGCACATGTTTCTTCTTTTTATGAACGAACTAAAGTCAATTTATTTTGCTTTAGGTGTTTGGAAATGCTCCACCCAGCAGCATGACGGAAAAGTTCTCCGACCTGCTGCAGTTCACCACCCAGGTGTCACGGCTCATGGTGACGGAGATCAGACGACGAGCCTCGAACAAATCCACAGGTGAACTGTCGGACTTTTAACAAGATTTGTGCCAATCTGTTCATTTGATATTGTGAATGTTTTCAGACAGACCGTTTATCTGTTGATCTACTCGGTCCCTTCCATGTAGCAGCGTGTGCCTCTTCTTCCTCATGGCTTCCTCAGGATGTGTTGTTTTCAAGCAGAGAACTGCTCTGATGTCGTAACATCTGAACACACACCTCTCCAGCTGGTCTGCAGGCCTCTGTGGACAGTCAGCGGCTGAGTCATGCTTGCAAATGACTCTGCAGCCCCTTTGTCATCATCAGGACAATATTTTACTTTGGTCAGAGCAGCGAGCAGCTGGAGTTTGGCTCGTTTTGTCGGCCGGATCTGAAGAACAATGTGTCTCACCCCTATGATCAAATCATTGTTCTAATGTCTCGTCATCTACCTTCAGATGTGTGCCATCACTTTCCACCTGTTTAATACTTGGGAGTTTAAAGTAGTGATGGGGCCGATCCGGTATCAGCCTCCGATACCAGCATAATTTACGTATCGGATTTTTCCGATCCAACCTGCAGAGATTTCCGATCCACGATGCATGTCTGTGTCTGTTGAAACGTCTCCACATGTGATTCCCTGCCAGCTGCTCTGCACGTTGGCTTCAAACTATGGAATGGATTTTCTGAACGGAGGCGTGTCTCATGAACCCAGAGTAACAAGACCCGCCTCACATTCAGGAAATCCATTTCATAGTTTGCAGCCAGCTACAACGTGCAGCAGCGCTGTGGCTAACAGCTAACCAACTTTTCATCGAAACATGTCCGCTGTGTGGAAGTATTTTACACTAAACACCACAAAGCAACGTGCAATGTCTGCAGAGCCAGAGCACCACATTGAACCGCTAAAGTTAGTTTTACGTTGGACATTCGAGCTCCGGGGCTTCAGCGGGGCGCTCCTCTCGCTGAACCCGAAACAGGCAGCCCGACCCCAGCCAGCCACGCTCAGTCTGCCCGTGTCTGAGGAAGGGCAGACTGAGCGTGGCTGGCTGAAATCAGACTGCCTGCTGCGGACTGAACAAGAAGAACACACCGCTGAAGCCCCAGAGCTCAGATGTTTACAGAGAAGTTGCTAAACTTCATTGTAATTAATGACCAACCTCTATCAGTTGTAGAAAACTAAGGATTTCTCAGTTTGATACTTGCACCCAAGATATAGTTTACCCTCCAGGAGATATTTATCAGTACAACAGTAGACAATCATAAAAAAA